ATAATGGGATTTGCTTGTATGGGTTATTGATTGCTGAGTTGGCTTGGATTGTTGCTGGTTTGCAGGTTGAATCTCTGAGATCTAACAGGTTTTCAACCGGGTTAAGCCACGATCTAAGCGCCGACAACATGTACTCCATGAGCTTCTGCCTGAAATTCCCCTTCGGAATGGGCGTATGAGACACACGTGCGAGGATCTCCGCCGCCATGTCTGTTTTCCCTTCGGATATCGCCGTGGCAATCTCCATTATTGTCTATCTCGAGTAGAGCGGCATCAGAGTAGACGAAGAAGACAAGCTTTGGAGAAGACGAAACCGAATTCAAATTCGTGTTCGGGTTGGAGTTCGGAGTCAGGCTCGGGCTCATCACCGAGCTCACCAGGCTCTGTATTGTCTCCGACCACTCGCTGTTTGCATTGGTAATAATGGAGACGACATAATCATCTTGTCCATCGCCGTCATCATCCAAAAGTCGTTTCTCGAGCACCTTCAGTCTGCTCATCGTCTTCTCCGAGTCTTGACCCAGCCGAGCTCGTTCTGAATCGGTTCAACATACGGATGATGCGAGTCTTTTGACAATTTGGTCAAACTGTTCAAAGATTTATTAGATAAGGAATAAATCAATTGAAGGTTTTATTCGTAGCAATGTTGCAATTGTAAGTATTTATAGAGAGCTTTACAAATCGAAGATTTTATTGTATATATTTAAGTAAGTTAAGGTTTTTGGGTTATTTATTTCTCTAAAAAAATTGGGATGGTTATTTGTGGATAGAGAGAGGAAATGTGAGAGAGATTAGGAAAAGATAGACGAATTAATTTTAGGATAAACAATGATGCAAAGTGTTTAAAACAAATACATTTTACAAGGACCTTTTTTGTACATCGATATTCTATAACTCTATCTTTTATGTGAGATAACTTTTTTTTTACCGAAAGGGATATGAACTCAAAGAAAAGGAAATGAAATTTCTTTTCCAAATATTGATTTTATAAATTTAGCAGACAAAATAATAAAAGCATTACCATATAAAGCTAAACATAGATTCCAACCAACAAAGAAGATTCCAACATCCAAAGTCCCAAAACATTGACACTTGATAAATTTTCTGTTTTTTTTTTCTCCAAAAAAAAAAGAAGTATTCAATGTCTTCAAAGCTGGCTGACAGATAATCTGGTTTTTTTATTTTGTAATTTAAGAAATTTATTACAAATTCAGTGGAAATAATTATCAAAGTAAATCCCAATCATAATATCAAATGTTTCAACATTTAGGCACATCTATGCTGAAATTGACTAGACACTGAGCATCACAGCAGATCCATATATGAAATGGTGTGAGTTTTTGTTTTTTTATTATAAAATAGTCTGAATAGTAGTATATATACATACTGTTTTGTGGTGTATGTAAGCATATTGTTAAAGATTGTCTTCAACTATTTCGTTAACAGGATAAAACATAATTATATCATAATTGAATCCGATTTATAAATTAATTGAATGTAATTTTTAAAATTAAATTATGATAAATTCGAATGGAATACAAAAACAATTCAAATCTTGAATGAAAATAAATGTTTTTTTTAGAAATTAACATTTTTCTCAACAAAATTTATTTAGACCAAACTATAAAATTCTATAAAAAAAAATTAAATAAATATAATTTTTTAAAAAGTAAAAAAATCCGGACCTAAAAATAACCAAAAAAAAAAAGAAAATACCAACGTTGCTTAAACGTCCATTCAATCCTTTAGTGGATGTAGATAGTTCGTAGAAAACAAAAGAAACGATAAATTTGTCCATTTAATTTAATTGTGAATCTACATTTACGTTTAACAAAAAAAAAAATTAATTGTGAATCAGTAACAAAAAAAATAAACAAATACTGGAAAAAAAAATCTAAAAAAGGACCAACATCCTCTTGAAGTTGTAAACTGTCCCATTCCCCCAAACCCCACGCTCTCTCTCTCTCGTTCCTTTCCTTTGGATTTCCTTTTGTCCCACACCACTCTAATAAAATATAATTAATTAATTGCATATATATATATATACACACACCCCTAATAGACATTAGTAATATAAAAAGAAGAATCAACAGGAGATAATTATAGTGAAGATTTCCTTTGATTGTTTTCATTATAGAATCCATTACTAGAATACATTAGAAGTTCTTTTTTGGCACGATAACATTCTACTACATTCTAGTTAAAAAAAATTGTTTAAAATAATTCATTTCAAATCTTATTAGCTATTACAAGTCATATAAAATCATGATATTTTTTTTTGGAATACGACGTTAAAAATGTAGAATGATGGATAAATGAATAAAGATAGAGAAAAATAGACGTGAGATAGAAATTTAAGAAAATAGACACGACGGGTGGAGGTGATAATTGTTGAAAAATAAAATAAAATAAATATAAAAAGTAATATAATTATATCTTTTTTTCTTTTTTTTTTATTTTAGTGAAAATAACTCATATATTTATAAAAAATTAATAAAAAAAATATAGATATAAAAAAAACAAATATAATACATAGTATTTAACATAATATTGTGTTTATTATTATTTTCAATAATATCTCAAAATATATATTTTTCTCTAACCATATATTCATTTTTCTATTTCAATTATTCAATATATTCGTCAAGATTGATTTTAAAAGAATACAAAAATCAATTTTGAAAAGATAATACGATATATATAAAACCCATAGATATTTTTATTGTATTTAAAAAAAATTCATAAACACCAAATCTAGTTCTTTAGAGAGTATTATCTATTTTCAAATCAAAATTCTACTTTTAACTATTTTTATTATAGTATATCGTTTGATCTTAAAATTTTTAGGTTTGACCTTTTTTTGACACAACACCTTATTTGTTTTGGATTTTACTACTTTTTAAATGATTTGGATATATAAACATCCAAAACTCAAAAAAGAAGAAATTGAAAAAAAAAATAAAGACCAGATCGAACCGCT